CGGTTCGGGGGCCCCCGATGATGAGACTAAGGATGCGGTCCTCTGCTGCATGGTCTGTTCCCAGAGGGGTTCGGCACTTAGAGTTTGCAATCCAAACCTAGGTTGTTTAGGCTTGGGCACAATCCCGACCATAAATGGCTGCGGCCGCTAATTCTTTACATGATAGACAACAGGTGTTGAGTATGACTCAGGTCAAATCACAGTTTGCGATGATGAGTTAAGGGGAAACCTTTTTAGACGAAGTGGACATAAACACCGCGAAGATGATGTCGACAATTGAACTCCAGACCCACTGGTTGCACTGTAAGCTCTGATCAGCAAGTGGGCGTTCAGGCTCCGCAAGAAGCTGTGCGAGAAAGGAGGCCAGTCTCAGTCGATTGCTTTGGCAAAAAGCCAAATTGAACTCACAGATTGAGACAAAGCCGGTGTTGGGTCTGCGCATGTGATTGAAATTTGTATCGATGTGGACCGGCCATATTCTCGGGGTTGATTCCTGGTAGCGAAGTGGGAACCAATTCCCGCAATCCTCTTTCCTAAGGTATTATCATTATCACAACAGTTATCATATGTCCCCTTATCCCTGGGACTAACCTCACCCACCAATCGTTTCGCCTCAATTAACAGCACGTCATCCCCAAATTCCTAGACCAGTGATTCCATTTTCCGGGGTTTGTGCAAAAGTAGCCCATTCAGATTAGTAGGACATCACCTTAAGTTAAAGGAGAAGCAGCGGGTCACCGACTATAGTGGCTTGTCTTGGATTCACTGGGTGAGCGGAACTCTAAAGACTGGCAATGGGCCTGCGGCTATCGAAAGCGCCTGTGCGAGCAAAAACCGCCAGGCTCCAGGAACGTGCACCTCCCCCGGGCAGCTACACAGTCCCCAGCTTCTTGCAGGACGTTCGGAGTCCTTCTGTTTCCATAGACCCAAGCCAAGAGGATAGAAGTTGGTTTCCTTTTGGTTTCCCTTTCGGAGGGGCATGTGTTTACGTGTTTGGTTTTTCCCGTTTTTGGCTTCTCGGCTTCTTGGCTTTTCGGCTTTGGCTGTTCGCATCCTCTGCATTCCCAGTTCCTCGAATGGTTTTTGCGGCTTTTACTGGGTTTATGTGCCTTTTAGGGTCTCTTTTTTACTGGCTTTGGCTTGTCGCATCCTCTGCTTTCCCAGTTCCTCTCCGGGAGGTTACTTTTGCGATTTTTATGTACGTGTACGTGTACACGTGTACGTGTACGTGTACACGTGTACGTGTACACGTGTACGTGTGTACACGTGTATGTGTGTGTGTGTGTGTTTGTGTTTGTGTTTGTGTTTGTGTTTGTGTGTTTGTGTGTTTGTGTGTTTGCGTGTTTGTGTTTTTGTGTTTTTGTCTTTATGTGTGTGTTTGTGTTTGTGTTTGTGTTTGTGTTTGTGTTTGTGTGTGTGTATGCACTTAATCGAACATGCTGCCCACCCCTAACCCCCCTGCTGGATTTTGGAATTTTGGCAAAAGCAAATAGAACGAAAGAAGCAACTGGAGAAGACAGGAAGAGAGAAAATGAAGACCAAAATAGAGAACATGGGTAGAAAACGGATGAAAGAAATGAAGAGAACAAGGGGGCTGCCGTTAAAGAGATTATGCACCCTTTGCTGAATCGGCAGTTCGAACATCATGGGTGGGGGGGCCACCCCCAACTCCCCCGCCCCGCTGGTTTTTGATTTTTTGCAGAGGCTGACGCACCATTTGTTGATCCACCGCTTTTTCGATCATCAGGGGGGGGGGCTCCCGTCAAAGAGTTAAATGCACCCTTTGCTGAATCTGTAATCTTTGTATGTATGTCTGTTTGTATGCACATCTTCGAACATCATTGGGCCCCCCCAACCCCCAGTCGCTGTTATTTTTACTGCTGAGATTAACGCGGCCTTTGTCGAATGTTCGCTTCTTCGAGTATCATCGGAAAACATGCTTGCCGGAGAAGAGCTGATGATGCTGAGGATGTGGGAGACCAAGGAACACACAACGACACAATTCGGTAGGTCGTATTTGTATTGTTGAAACGTCCCTGTTCACTAAGCTCAAACAAACCAAAGCACAGCTGTTTACAGCATGTTGCTTTCCCACGCGTAACTCCCTCCCTCCCCAAAAAAAACAAACAAGAAAGAAACAGAAAGAGAACAAATCCAAAAAGCCCTTCCCTTGCCCTCCCAGGGTCTGACCCATAGTGATGCCAGTCCGCTTGCGCGAGTGCCGAACTGTGGCATATCAGCGACAAGATGTGCCAACATGTCAGGATGTGGCCGCGTAGGAATTGTAATCAATATACATCGGGCAAACTTGGGCTACGCATGCTGTGACGAGTATTGCGCGAGATTTGGTCCGCTCAACGGCACCTGCAATCAAGATTGAACAGCAACATGTTCGCAAGCAAGCCCGCGCTCAAGTTGTGCTTGCTACGTCCTTGCATCTGCATTTTGCTCTGCTCACTACTTGAAGTGACTGCGTGCTACTCTGAAAACCCATGAGCGAGTTATTTCTAAGCGCATCACAAATGCTCAGATGACTGTCACCATCAGCAAGCGTATCCATTGTCGATTGGCAGTGAAAAGGGGCTTGACCTGAAAGGTTAATGATCTTTTCTGTCACTTTGGTCAGATGCACCCGCTTGGTTTTGCATTGTTCGGAAAGCTTGCGCATCAAGCTACAGGGTTGTGCAAACAAGAACCAGCGGAACCCTTTTGCGCCGGGCTTAAAGGGGAGCGACACGACAACCACTGTGAATCGTTAGATTTGTCATATTGGTTGACACCCAAGAGTTAAATTGGCACCCATGTCCAATTTAGTTTGACCTCAGTTTCGGTCTAATTTCCAAAGGGTCCAAGCTCGCATGGGAAAGGGGCGACTCTCGCAGGAGCCTTTGGCCCCTTCGAGTGCTGGCCTTGAACTCAGGCTTCACAGCGCCATGAACTCGAAGGTATCCCTCCTCCGGGCCAAATCCCGTTTTTCCTTCGGCAGACACAGCACGGAGAGATGGAAGAGCAGGTTGGGCAGACAGGGCCGACCAAAGGCCAAGTGGTTGCTTTTCCTTTCAGAGGGCCAAACAAAACTAGCCTCCCAGCGATCTGGGCTGACGAGCCAACTTCAAAGGGACCAAGGAGCCGCTGAGTCAAAGCCGCTTCGGGTGGTGCAAATCAGTCGCCAAAGAGTTAGATATCAAGAGTCCCTTTTACAGGCAACAAATAAAGCTCCGTGTCTTTTCCTTAAGGGCCCGTCCCTTGACGTGTTTCGCAGCCTGGAACATCGAGGCTACAAGCCTTGCCCACGGTGTTTTCATGTTGACCCACGTGGCTGTGTCTCGACTCAGTTGACACCCAGGGTTTGATTATGACTCGGCTGAGGTCTGTTAGACTCCCCTGTAGGTTCAGGTTTATTTCGACCCCTTTAGTCCCAACCCAAACCAATGGTGTGTGTGTGTGTTGCATTCCTGTGGTAGGGAGGTCTTTCCGGATCCAGAATAGAAGCGGCCACTCATTTGCTTCAGTATATGGTTTTAGTTCGCCCTTTTTCATTCCAGGTTGTATGATTGCGACTCAGTTCATGACGTTTGGCAGGCAAGCGTTTCTCTCTTCAGCCTTGGGTCCATTCAAGTGACACCCCCAAATGGCCTGAATGGTCTTGCGAAGGGTTTCCCACCTCAAACAAGTAACTCTGAGAAGCCCCTGCAAGTGGAACCACTTCAATGGGCCAAGTTTAGGATGCCAAGCCTTGCCGCTGCTTCGCAGTCGGATAAGAGCGCATGCGTCGATGGATCCCGAGGCCGAAAGCCCAAGACGCAGTGGAAGAACGAGTGGAAGACCATGTTCAGGCCACGTGGCAAGTGACCCAGAGCAGGTGATTCACCGCGCCATTGCTAGCAATATAAGAGTTTGGGCAAGATCAGGGGCGTGGCAAAAGGCCTGGCGTGTCGATCCAGAGAAGGAATTGGTCTCGACTTGTGTGATGTTTTTGTTTTGTTTTTTCCAACGCAATTGAAATATAGGGCAAATGGGTGAAGAAAAAACATGGACATGCTCCAGTTTCCCTCGTTCCCTTCATGTTCTTGGTTTTGGTTTGCACCCCTTTTCGGTCGGCAAAGGGAAACCTACAGAAACCATTGCGTCCAAATCCTGGCACCCATATAAACAGATCCAAGCCTGTGCCATTCAGTGATCTGCACGCAGGGCCATCCACGCATCGCAGACTCGAAAGAAAACGCCTGGGACTCTCTGAGCTTCGGCTTATCAAGCCACTCAGTTTGTTTTTGCTGGAACGAGAGATTAATGATGTCATATTTGTGTATGTGTATATACTATTACATTATTTATATTATATATATATGCATGTACATGTATGTTAGATACTGCGTCCAACATTGCCAACGCACAACGCCACGTGATTGTGTATTGAATGTATGCAATGTAGAGTGCGGACAGAGAGAGCAAAGCTCAATCTCCCTTCGCAGAAAGGGCTTGGCAGATGGACTAGTGCAAGAGTTTGGAAGAAGTTTGATTCACAGTGCAGATTGTCATTGCAACTATGAAGACATTTTTAAACAAGTCCGGGCCGTGCCCATCTGCTTGCCCATCCGAGCTGGCCTCCAGATTTGACGCTTGGCCATTTCTGTTTTTTCCTTTGTTCCGGCGTAGTGACGGGGTTTAAAAGCCTGCTCTGTGAGCTCTGGAAAGCTGAAGCAGTGCATACTGGCATTGGCAAACCTTCCACAGCTTGCACGTGCGAATCAAGCATTCCTTAGCTGGACCCAGACTCCCGAATGGGAGCCACATGGAGCCATTAGAAGAATCGCTTTGGCAAAGAAGTCGAATGCGCGAATTGGATCAACTCACACGAGAAGTTGACTGTGTGCGCAATATTTGTCATTTGCCAGAAAGAGCACCACAAGGGATGTTTTTGTGTTTTTCTTCTGGAGGTCAAGTTGAGAGACGCCCATTGATACGAAGTTGAGACTGGCCTTGGGCGAGACATGCCTCAGGCTTCTGCCGAGGATCTTTTCCGGCAGGCCAGCTGAGAGCTGAGAGGAGCGGGGGTGGCACTTGTTTGTGGCGAATGCGGTTCATTCGCTAATGTGTTGGTATGCGTTTTTGGGGGAGGCTATCCCTTGCTTAGTTCCAAGCCCAATTTTGACACATTCCCCATTTGCAAGCGGGGGAACAAGGGGAACCCTGCAGTTAACCGCTCGCAACCTAGCCAGGTCTTTGGCGGCGCGGGCTTTGATGAGGCTGACAGCTGGCAGTGGTTCCAGTGTTCCTCCAACGGGGTGATAGTGCACAACTTTGAATCGTTCTTGTTCCATCCCACACAATTAATATTTTACGATAGTTGCCTGGTAAGACCTGGAGAACGCATACCGCATGTGCCCGCACAGCTCATGATGAACCTGCACAAGCTCCAGGGCATGCAGGTCGGCCTGCATGGTGACACCCAAGCAGCCTCACAATGTTGGATCCAGCGCTTCATGACTTTTGCTCGTGTCATGTGTCGACTGCTTTGTGCGCCCTTGTGCTTGCCGAATATATATATATATATAATATATATATATATGCGCAACAATATATATGTATGTATATCTAATTGTAAACGCTTCGCGTTGCCCGCCTCGGCCAGCATGTTTTTGGCTGGATTTGAAGTGCTGTGGTTTTGGTTTGCCTTGAAGTGTTGCGGTTGTTTGAGTGAGTCGGCGCCGAAATGCGTGAGCTTAGTGAACTGGGGCCAGCGAAGCCTTAGCCGGTTTCTAGGTGTATCTGACCTTTTAGCGGGGGGGGAATTTGTTTGCGTTCTAGGGGGGATTTAACGGTTTCGAGGGGGCTACTGGTTTCAGGAGGAATTAGACTGGTTCGGTGTTTGGAGGGGATTTGACTGAGAATTTGACCGGTTTCTACGAGACTTGACCAGGGATTTTGACCTGGCTTCTAGATGAACATGACCGGTTTTTAGGGCACCATGACCGGTTTTTTGGGGGACTTAGATCAGTTTCTGGACAGCATATTTGGCCGAATCGTCAGTCCACCCCTCTGACCAGGGGAACTATGTAAATGAATAAATATATATATATATACATATACGTATACATATATATATATATACTGCATGTCGCAGCATCTGACCACCCGTGCATGATTTCGACCGGAGAGAAAAAGGAAAATCATGGCTTTCCGAATTGCAGAGTCCCGGCCATTGCTTCCAGCTTCACTCTGATAGGCAACCAAGCAAGGGTACCACCATTCAAAAACACGGAAAAAGCCATGGCTACCCAGTGTTCTGGTAACTGGGCGCAGGACAATGTACGCAACTTTGCCAACTTCATCACCGCTGGCTCGAAGGTCAAGGCGCGAGGTTCCGTACAAAGAGCAAAGCAGCAAAGCGAGGCCGCCATGACAGCAACGCTGTAACACCCGCTCCGTGTCGCTGGGCGGCTGGCCAGTAAAGGGGTTCACTGCAGGGTTCCATTTTTTGACTACCCCAAGACAGACTTAAACCCAGGGGTTCTCGTTTTGGGGGTTATTATGAACCACCCCTGGGTCTACCCTGGGGTAGTCCAAAAGTGAACCCTGGTTCTCTGCTTCCGCACAAACTGTCGGCTGGTTCTCAACAAAAATGAGATTTGAAATGACCAACTTCTAAACCATCCAAATTGTGATTTCCTTTTTTCGGAAATCTCCTTCCACCTTGCCGCAAGCGGTCGCAGGTGCATGGAAGCAAGAACTGGGTCCTGGCAGCCTGCCGAAGGGCTGGCATTGATGCCACCAACGATCGCCTGAGGCGAGGCGATTGGTTGGCTAAGCAGTGTCCGTCCACGAAACCTACGCAAATGCGCAGAATGCTGGCTATGACGTTGCTGTTTGGGATTATGTTGCATCTGGCAAATCGAGCTGTGAGTCTCAAGTTCGGGGCTTCAAGGGGTTTTGGACAAGATGCAGCGCATATTGTTTGGTAGTCACAGTGACGATCCTTTGCCCCCAGGTGAAGCTCACCCACCTACCAACCCACCTACCCAACCCGCCTGCCCACCCACCCCTACCCACCTGCCTACCCACCCACTCACCCACCCACCCACCCACCCACCTACCTATCTACGTACAAACACTCGCATGCGGGCCGCGTCACCAGGACACAAGCCTTGGGCAAAAAGGGCAGCGTCATCAAGGCTTCACGATCGATCACTGGCATGGGAAACCCATCCTGCTGGGATAACACCCAAGCCATCCCCCCGAGGATTTAATCCAGGTCTGCATTCGTGGGAAACCCGGATGAGTGGGTGTCTCAAAACCGTGGCCCCCCTTCTGGATTTCCCAAACTGACAGTTGAGCAAAACACCGATGCAACCCCGGATGATTGGTTTTGTGTAGAGGCAACACTTCTCTGTTTCTTCGTGGAAAATCCGGAGTCGACATTATCATATCCTTTCTCCGCAAAAGACAAACCTTGCAGCCCGTAAGGAAGGTTTGTTTCAGGCGCGCTTCTTCGGCCATGTTTACGAACCAAGACTTTGCATGCTTGTTGATATGCTTGTTCATACAAGCAAAACGAATGCTTGCGCTGCCTGGAACCTTAGTTTTATCTTTCTCACCAGCACTTGGGCACCTAGTTTGTTTTCCGAAACTCGAAGCAAACTCGTCCCAAGGGAGTTTGCAACACATATAAACAATGTGCTGTTGTTTGTTTTCTACGCAGAGTGGTGTTTGATTTCTGCACGGAAGCTTGATTGAAACGTGCACGCAGGATGTTAGCTTTGAACCAGAACAACTCTTGCACGGGCAAGATTACTTCGATCCGAGAAACTCTAGATGGCTGCGAGCAAGGGAGACCATAGTATTCCCGATGTGACATGAACGTTGTCCCGAGCAGTGTTTGTCGTAGTTGCTAAACCAACTACATACACGGATTGTTGATGGCTGCACGGAACGCTTGTTTCTGCCGCGAAACTATCGTTCGGCTGGATTTGTCCTGCGTTGTGTCGGGAACAGACACAAAACTGGAACGCCCAAGTTATTTCACCATGCAGGAAACAGACTGGTGTCCTCGATGCGAACTTTTGTTTCAGTGGCAGAAACAACAAACCCGAGCAGCCTTGGGAAGGTTAGCGTCCCCTTCAAAAACTAACCTTTGTTAGGTGGCTTGTTCGCTTCTATCGGAGGGGAGGGTGAGTATCACCTCGGCCATCCTTGGACAAGGTTTGTCTAAACTCCAAAGTACACATTTAAGCTTCAAGTTCCGAAACTCGTGCTCCGACATCTACTCCCCATGCAGGTTGATCCGAAGGATAACACGGCCAAAATCCAAGTGGACGGTGTTGGCGATGTGTGGCCGCTCGCCAAGCATCGGTTCATGGTTCAGCTTGCGTGGGTGCAAGCCTGGCCCAGCCTGGCTCGAGATTGAGCAGCTCATGAGATTCAAGGTTCCTTTTTCAACCTTTGTCAACCCAGGCTTCCTGCAGAAGCTCTGCAAAGTGACGCAGGACTTCTAAGATTTGTCCAATATTGAAGCAGCGCAGTGATAAGCAAGAACCACGTGCGATCAAAGCATTCAAGCAGACTTCACTCAGAAATGACCTTGTGCAGCAATTGAGTCGTCGCCGCAGTTCCGCGCGTATGGCAGTGTTTCTTGTCCGTGGGCAATTCTTTGCTGTGGAGGGGAAGCCAAAAGAACTCCAAGCATGTCGGGGGTCCACGATGTTGCGCATCGTTACGCGGGCTTCCCAGGACAACATCCAGACCCAATGGACGTCATGCGGGGCTTCCGCACGACGCCCTTTCAAAGCTTCCACGGAGGCAGCGGGATTGGAGTGCAGGTGAGAAATCAGTTGATGGATGAACACCCCTGGTTGATTCCCCTTGAAGTTGCAGCCCATTGACGGAAGTCTTCACTTTGGGGGGAGTTGACTTAGATCTGAGGTCGAGGTTCATGACAGAGAAGTTGAGGCTCCACATTGTCATGTTTCGTCCGCGCTTTATGGCGTTCTTCCCATGTCCATGTCTCACTTTGGTTTATGCTTGGACTTGAAGGAAATTGGATGCAGCGGATGCCTGGCAGGACAGAGAAGTGGGGAGCAGCGAATTACTTCACAGCAACTCGCTCGGGCCCCAAACCTGAGAGCACCTCAGTTTGCCGCTCATGAAGGGCTCCCGGCACCTTTCGGGTATGGACAGGCGTGTTATCGCATGTCGGTTTGTGTGTGTGTGTGTGTGCGTGTGTGTTGGGGTAGGCTGGGCTGGGGTGGCCTGGGCTGGGGTGGCCTGGGCTGGGGTGAGTGGGTGGCTGCACGGGTGCATGGGTGCATAGGTATGTGTATTTGTGTGTGTGTGTGTGTGTTTGTATGTGGGTCTCTCTGTCTGTGTGTGTGTGGCTGTGTGTGTGTGTGGCTGTGTGTGGCTGTGTGTGTGTGTGTGTTTGTATGCGGGTCTCTCTGTCTGTGTGTGTGGCTGTGTGTGTGTGTGTGGCTGTCTGTGTGTGTGTGTTTGTATGTGGGTCTCTCTGTCTGTGTGTGGCTGTGTGTGTGTGGCTGTGTGTGTGTGTTTGTATGTGGGTCTCTCTGTCTGTGTGTGTGGCTGTGTGTGTGTGTGTGTTTGTATGTGGGTCTCTGGCCGGGGGGGGGGCGCGCGCGCTCGCGAAAAACTGTTTTCACTCACTTGTAGCATGCCTCCAAGACGGCTCCAGTCTTCTCTGACATTTGCTTTGACAAGCAGCCTGCAACAAACATAGTATAGATTGCAAGTCATGAAGGGGGGTTGAGACTCGGTTGAGACGCATTCTATTTTATCAATTGCAGGCGTGATTTGATTTGCGCCTGAGCCACAATCAAAATCTGGGTAGATGAAGTTGGTGGGGTACAGTCCCAACCAAAGGTGTACAGTCCCAACCAAAGGTAGGAGCGGATGTCCACTCTGTAAAAGCTGGTTACATGGTTATCCTGGGAGGACTGCTTGCTTGTGCAGCCTTTGGCTCAGGGCACGTGGACCACCAGTGTTCCAAGTTGATGCCTCCAAAGTGAGGCGATGGATAAGGTGCGGAAATATCAGGTGTTCCGAATCTGTTTATGGACGAAAATCCAGAGCAAGAAGTTCCTCGATATAGATTCATGTCCAAGTTGATTTGACACTTTCTAGCAAGCCAACAGCATGCCTGAAGTGAGAGCTACAGCCTATGAACAGTAATCACTCAAATTGCCGCCAGATACGAAGTGGTCGCGCAAGATTTCTAGCAACACACACACACATACACACTCACACACACACACACACACCCGCACACACACGCACACAAGCTCACACACCACACCACACGCACAAATGGGAAAATTTCATTCACGCTGAGCTTGAGCTATGGATTCCTGATTCTTGCCCAAAGATGGCAGCGCCGGCTGGAGGTCTTGCAATTCTGGTAGATGAAAAGCGAGTCAATGAGCTCTTGCAGCAGAAGAGCGGCCTCAAAGCACTGCTTAGATCCACCTTCAACACCATCCTCTTTGTTTGCTTCCTGCTTCTCTTCACCTCCCTGGCTCTCGCCGAGCCCCGCTATAAGATGAGGGCCTTTGAAGGATACCTCCGGAAGAGGTTCGATGAAGCTGCACCTGTGCGTTTGGCAGATGTGTTCTCTGTGGATGGCTTCTGGATGTACCACAATGAGTCTTTCATGCCGGCCGTGTATGGCCAAGACACGGCGAAGTACTCCTATCCTGGAGCCGTGGTCCCAACCTGGTTGCAGGTCGATGGCCCCAACTATCTTTATGGCCTGGGACGAATTCGCATCCTGAACGTCAAGCCAAACTCCGACTGCCAGGTAGCTCCTCAGTTTCAGAACTATTTCTCGACTTGCTATGGGCCCTTTAGCAGCGACGCGGTGGACACAGAGACCTATGGCCCCATGAACAATGAGGGCGTACCCTCCTTCAATTACCAGCCAAATACCGGAGACGAGTACCTTGGGGTCCTTGCTAGATATCCTTCCGGAGGCTACATCGACAGCTTCACGCCAGACTACCTCACTTCAAATGCGAAGTTCCAGGTGATGCGAAATGACGCTGGGTGCTCAACAGACCTCGTTGAAACCAATTTACCACCAGGGGTTGAAGGCTCCCAAGGGATACGCTTGGCCGATAGGGAGATAGGGAAGCAGAATCCAATGGTGGTCCTACGAAAAGTGGAACCGCGTTTCAAGAGGGGTTCCGAGAATGTGATAAAACATACTAGGGGATGGGGACCCCCTTTATTAAGTTTATCACCATGAGGTTAATTATCGAAAAGGGGACGGGTACACGCCAGCTGAGTGGGGAATGCAAACAAAACCATCAGTCTCAAGAGTCTAAAGAAGAAGCTCTCTTTTCTTTTGCCTAGAAGGGGGGGGGTCAGGCTAATGAATTTGCAGGGAACTCGTCCCTCGATTTCCAAGCTCCACTGCTTCTTGGGCACCCAGGATGGTTTCATCTCGGAGAAGACCAGAGTGATCTTTCTGGAGTTCACCATCTACAACTTCAACCTGGGCGTCTGGTCCAAGATCTTTGAGACTTTTCGGTGGATAGACCTATTTATGATGTTCACATTTAAGGGTGTTCTCTGTGTGTGGGTAATTGAGGTCGCCTTTTCTTTGCTTGGCATTGAGGGAAAGCAAACGGATCATCTCTGGTTTTGAAAGGGGGTTACCCTGTTTTGACAAGCCCAGATAGACTCTGTGGACTTTCCACCTTTGGACCACCCTTAGACTTTGAGTTGTGTGGAGGATAGAAGGAGTATGGACTGATGGACCTCCTTGGGATGGACGCCCCCGTTCCGAATTCGAGCAGTTTGTTTGCTGGGCCCACCTAGGGGAGATGAATTCAAATCGTGTGAATCAGCCCAGGTATCCCTGGCCTCATTATTTTACCATCAAAGTGCCCCCGAAAGAGGTTAAAGGGAAACGACCCCGTTTCTGACTTTGATACCCCGAAACCGTGAAAAAAGCATGACCCCTGTATCCCCAACCTGGAATGGAATCTCCTGTTGAACCCTCCCTTTGCCCCCAAACGACCTCGTTATCACCTTGGGCAGAGGGCTCAACAGCAACCAATTCTGCACCCCTATTGAAGTCGAACTGGGGAGGGGCTATCCCTTGTTACGCCCTGAAGGCTTTAAGGCCTTAGTTGGCTTATCCTTGGCTTATCCAGGGATAGACCCCCCCCCCAGTTCGCCCCATAGCCCCCCCCCTCCGAGTGGTCAGAAGGCTTGTACGCGGTCTGCCGCATCGTCTTCGAGATCGCGGCCGCCGGAGACTGGACGCAGACCTTCGAGTTGGATGTGCTTGTGCAGCGGAACCTGCAACCCCTTGGCTCAGGCGCTTTGTTTCTTTTGTTTTTTCAATTGTTTTTTTGGCGCCCAAAGCCTTCTTCCGTTTGCTCAGGCGAATATGTTTTATTGGTTATTGTTTATTTTCTTAAAAAATCAGTACTGGATACAAATATATATATATATATATTGCTTCCCCCCCCTAGGGGGCTTGAGCAAATGGAAGCTACTGGGTGGTTGAGAATGCTTTTGGTCTCCCGTAAAGCGGGGTGTATGTTGAGAAACACCCGCTATCCCAAAGCCGATCTCAAAAGGGCCATCTTAGGCGGGTGCGACCTGGTTGAACAAGGATAGTAAGGCCTGTTAGATCCTGTCTAAACATCGTAGAACCAAAAGTCAATGATTGCACTTGAAACTGTGTTGCTTGACATGCAATTTGGACTCAGCAGCATTACGGTCATACCAATGTTGGAATACACTTGTAATCTAGTACTATGTTATTTGGATATTTAACCGCATTATTTGATTCAGCTGCGTTCTGGACCTTCTTAACCTTTCTGGTAGTGTCGATTTCCTCAGAAAGAGCAACAACAAATGGTGCTTACCTTCTTGCCTTTGAACCATTCTTTGCTTGATGGTAATTTTCCAAAGCAAGAAACCGCAAGATTTTGACTTTCACCTGCTTGCAAATGTTGGATGGTCTTTTTGGCGAATGACAATGTGTCCATCAAACGGTGTGTCCCTCAATTGAGCAGAGTTTTTTCTTGTAGCGCCCGGAGCCACATAGGCTGGAATGGTGTGCCTGCGCCGTCCGCGTAGGCTGCGTAGGCTTTTTGCGTAGGAACTGCCTTCGCGTAGGCTGAAACCCTGCAAAAATGCAGCTCGCGTAGGCTCGCGTAGGTTCCGCGGAGTTCCCCTTTTTATCTACCCCAAAAAAAACTGCTCAATGTTTCCCTTCCTGTACCTAAAGCGGTAATTGTGCTGGACCACAGAGAAAAACAAAAAGGCTTCTTCAATATTGGGGATATCCAGCTGAGAAAGGTGGCAATTGTGTTGGAACCCACCCGAAAAGATCTGACAATAGGGACATCCCGCAAGCAGATGGCTTGGTTGTTCCCCACTTCTGTGCTACTTTTCGGAATCTCGGGGTTAGTCTTTGGGGTAAGGCCCTTTGTGCTGTTTGCCAGTGGATTCCATGTCAACCACATAAATCCGCTGAAGGCACCTTTTTAAATCACAGAAGTGGACTCCATGTCAAACACCCTTTTGGAGGTTAGGCCCTTTTTGTTGTTTTCCAGTGGAATGTCCTTTTGAACCACCAAATCCGCTGGAGGCACCTGTTTAAATCACAGAAGTGGACTCCATTTCAAGCACCCTTTTGGAGGTTAGGCCCTTTTTGTTGTTTTCCAGTGGAAAGTCCTTTTGAACCACCAAATCCGCTGGAGGCACCTGTTTAAATCAAAGAAGTGGACTCCATTTCAAACACCCTCCTGGAGGTTAGGCCCCTTTTGTTGTTTTCCAGTGGAATGTCCTTTTGAACCACCAAATCCGCTGGAGCCACCTGTTTAAATCACAGAAGTGGACTCCATTTCAACCACCACCCTTTACGAAGCAGGAAGCCCTGTTTGTAGAAGTGGATTCCAGTGCATCCAGAACCTATGGGGGGTAGTTTTTGGGGTTAGGCCCTTTTTGTTGTTGCCAGTGGAATGTCCTTTTGAACCACCAAATCCGCTGGAGGCACCTGTTTAAATCACAGAAGTGGACTCCATTTCAACCACCACCCTTTACGAAGCAGGAAGCCCTGTTTGTAGAAGTGG